CATTATTTAAAATCTAACATATATTTAAAACGAGTCTATAAATAAAATACAAAGGTATTATCTAAAACTTTTCTTAAATAGAATACAAATAATACTGTTTTAGTTCAAGTTAAAGATACATTATGTAAGATTTAGATAAAGAGCTAGCCATTCTTGCTGTAATAGATAATGTAAAATGAATAATTTGAAAATTTCATTCAAATTACTCTATTGCGAGCAAAGATATTAGCCTTAGAAGGTTTGACAAGACGTGTGCAATAATTTCAACCACCGTACTGGTTGTTCGAAGCTAAGTCTCACTCCTCCATTTTTAGCTTAAATCAAAATATGGCTGAACTGTTCTAATCTATTTAATATTGGAGAAATCTGATGCCATCGAGAGTTGATTATGGCCTGGATAAGTTAATTAATGTCTAATTAATAATTTAGAAAACATTTGAGGCCTAAAGAAAGACCTGAAATAGGCAGATTTACCTCTTGCATAATGTAGGTTTAACTAACTATATTTTTATAAAAATGGTCGTCTGTTCTAATTGTTGCCATAGTTACATCTATTTACCTTTTTTAACTCTGTGTAAAATGAACCACGAACTATAACAGTACATCCTAAATGTGTGGCACAACCATCAAATATAACCACAGTCTTAGTCTCTCCTGTAAAAAAACAAACAAAACAATATAACCACAGTCTTAGTCTCTCCTGTAACAAAACAAAACAATATTAAAAACTAATATTTTTCACTTATTTTGGAACTATTTGGCTTGCTGACTTACATTGCATTACCCCAGGACAAATGGTGATGATGGTAACCCACATACAGATGGGTTCCCTGAAAAGTATTTATCGGGTGGTTATTTCCAATAAAAGTATGGCAATTTTGGTATATATGGAAAGTAGAGATATCCAATCTTACTAGAAAAATACTGGATTCCCCAAAAAACACTCGTGAAGCGTATACAGGACAAAGGTGTAAGGGTTCCCCTAATCGACAAGCCCGACGATTAGGAACTTCTGCACGCGTGATGTCAAAGGTCACAAGCGAACATTGAGCGCATGATGTACAAGTTGATAAACTTTATGAAAAGTTAGACGTACAACACTTTCTGAGATAAAAATGACGGAAAAAGACGCGGGTAGTGGATAATCCGAGAATTTAATTAGGATTTGATATTTGTAATAAATAGTAAGCGATTAAAGACAACATTGTCTTATGTATGCAATGAATTCTCCACTGACTCCTTCGCAATTACAATGTTTGAGAAGAATTTGAAGCAAAATTATGACAAATTAATTAGTTTGAATATGTTTTTGGTCCATATATACCATTAAATCACCCAGTTTGTAGGTGGGAACCCATCTTTAATGACTTATTTCTCTCAATTTTATTTTTGTGCTACACTAATTCTACCTTCTGTACAGGTATTCTACCTTATGCACAGGTATTCTATGGAAAACGTTTACTGTTTACTGCTGAGTGACATTCTGACTATAATTTATAGTAAGCTATAATAACCACAGTTGGGAAGTGCATAAAGGTGTTATAATTACCGTTGTGAAGTGTATAAAGAATGTTATAATAACCACAGTTAGGAAGGGTATAAAGAATTTAATAATCAATGCTGGGAAGTGTATAAAGAATGTTATAATTACAGCTGGGAAATATATAAAGAATTTTATAATTACTGTTTGAAAGGGTATAAAATATGTTATAATAACCACAGTTGGAAAGTGTATGAAGAATGTTATAATTACCGTTGGGAAGTGTATAAAGAATGTTATAATAACCACAGTTGGGAAGTGCATAAAGAATGTTATAATTACCGTTGGGAAGTGTATAAAGGATGTTATAATAACCGCCGTTGGGAAGTGCATGAAGAATGTTATTAACCGCAAATGGGAAATGTATAAGAATGTTATAATAACCACAGTTGGGAAATGTATAAATAATTTTATAATTACCACTGGGAAGTGTATAAATAATGTTATAATTACCACTGAGAAGTATATAAAGAATGTTATAATTACCACTGAGAAGTATATAAAGACTGTTATAATTACAGTTGGGAAGTGTATAAAGAATGTTATAATTACAGCTGGGAAATATATAAAGAATGTTATAATTACTGTTTGAAAGGGTATAAAATATGTTATAATAACCACAGTTGGAAAGTGTATGAAGAATGTTATAATTACCGTTGGAAAGTGTATAAAGAATGTTATAATAACCACAGTTGGGAAGTGCATAAAGAATGTTATAATTACCATTGGGAAGTGTATAAAGGATGTTATAATAACCGCCGTTGGGAAGTGCATGAAGAATGTTATTAACCGCAAATGGGAAATGTATAAGAATGTTATAATAACCACAGTTGGGAAATGTATAAATAATGTTATAATTACCACTGGGAAGTGTATAAATAATGTTATAATTACCACTGGGAAGTGTATAAATAATGTTATAATTACCACTGAGAAGTATATAAAGAATGTTATAATTACCACTGAGAAGTATATAAAGAATGTTATAATTACCGTTGGGAAATGTATAAGTATGTTATAATTACCACTGGGAAGTGTATAAATAATGTTATAATTACCACTGGGAAGTGTATAAAGGATGTTATAATTACCGTTGGGAAATGTATAAGTATGTTATAATTACCACTGGGAAGTGTATAAAGAATGTTATAATTACCACTGGGAAATATATAAAGAATGTTATAATAACCACAGTTGGGAAGTGTATAAAGAATGTTATAATTACCACTGGGAAGTGTATAAGCCTGTGTACGGAATGTATGACAGACACCAAGATTAGGTGAACCAGCTAGACTATCTATAGATGGTATAATATCAGTCTGAGTAAATCTCGATAATCTCTCCATAACTCTCTAAAATATATCATTATCATAATATTAAACAGTTTCCTATAACATCATCATCATCAATTGTTTCAACAACATTTAGTAATTGATCTACCGTATTTTTCGGTGTATTAGGTGCATGCGTAGATAAGGCGCAGGGCGACTTGGGCAGATGTGTTTCAGGAAAAAAAAATATGCATTGTTTAGGCGCACCCTTTTCCAATGTCTCGTGAAATTTGTGCCATATCATACGTGACTCAAATCCACCTGCGATCTCCAGGTCCCAATTCTATGAAACAGAATTACTGTTTATTACTGAGCAATGCTCGACTAAGCGTCTCTAGTCTTTATCAAGCAATGATAACAACTTGAGAAGACTAGTCGAAATGTCACCCACTAATAAAAGTAAGTGCATTTCATAGAATTGGGACCTGTGTACATTATTATAATATTAAACAGTTTACTATATAAAATCAAAATATTAAACATTTTTCTATATAAATAAGGTTCAAGAAATCGGTACAACCAGCACTGAAATGCAAGACATTTATGACAGTCAGTAGATAAAGCGCCAGTCTGGTAAGCCCACACTGACAGACCAACTGACCCTCAGAGAATGTGTATAGCGCCATTACTACTTCAGATAAAGTTCATTGTATGCTTTTAAGTTTATGTGGATACTTTTATTGTATGTTCATGTCAACAGATGTGCTATCAAACATGAGCTGGTAGTTAACAGAATTTCAAATATTTTGAAGAACTGAATAAAATAAAAGTAAGATTGTATATAATATTGTTGCTTGATATACTTACTGGTTTAACATTAAATATTAACGTTATTCCTGCTTCTAGTAGAAAATCTTGTGCTAAACGGGAAACAGTCTTTTCTACAACTAAAATATTTGGTGAAACTTGGACAATCTTAGACACAGAATTCCTTAAAAATTCTTTTTCCTGGTAAAACAGAGGATGAATAATCAGAATAAATTAAACAAATACAGTTTAACATCTTATTTGTTTCTTCTCCTACCGAGGGGGGATGGTGGCCGAATGGTTAACGTGTCTGTCATTGAGTCAACTGGCGTGGTTTAGACCCCCCCTTTGTACATAACAAGGAGTTGGGTTGCCTGTCCACCCTTGTGGGTTTTCACAGGGTCCTCTAGTTTCCTCGCACTGCTAAAGACCCCTACGTGCAAGCAAATTATTGAAATAAAATTCAACCGTATGTTAGTCCCAAAATGACCTAGTTTGTGTTGAGTGAACGTTAAACCCCATTTTCTCTCTCTCTTCCTGATCCTACTGGGCTAACAAAGACGGGCATACACCATGCAGTGTGTTATAAAGGACATTTTGCCCTGATCGCGTTGCTATGGCATATTCTTATTTTCAAATCCAAACTGTCAAGGCGGCACACAAAACATCTCATCCAATCTGAATGACTATATATATGTCCTTCCTATACAGCCGGGCCCTCCCTCCTGCATTAGGGGAAACTACACTGCCAACAATAATTGAAGGGAACAGAGAGAGAGAGAGAGAGAAATGGGGTTTAACATCCACTCGACACAAACTAGGTCATTTCGGGACTAACATACGGTTTAATTTTATTTCAATAATTCGCTTGTGTGTAGAGGTCTTTAGCAGTGGGAGGAAACCAGAGGACCCGGAGACAATCCACGAGGTGTGACAGGCAACCCTACTCGTTGTTTGAAAGGAACAAGTCAGATGGTAGATTTGTAAACAAGTGGGATACCATGTTATAAAAGTAACTGAAATGAAATGAAATGGGTGAGATTTAATGTCCTACTGTTTTTTTTACTCCGAACTGGGCTAATGACGACGGACATACGTCATACAGTGTGCTATGAGGGAAATTTTGCCCAGGCAGCGGGCACTACGGCCTACTCTTACATCGAATTCCAACTGTCAAGGGATTTTTTGCGTGCACGCCAATGTGTAAACGGGACCTTTGTTTTTTGTCTAATCCAAATGACTAGACAGCTGGCCTTGTCAGGCCCTCCGTCCTGCATAACTAAACTTTCTCGGCCAATGCAGGGATCGAAGACCCAACCTAGAGGCTAGCGAGCCAGTGTCTTACCCACTTAGCCACCGTGACCCCCCCGCTATAAAAGGAACTAGCTAGAAGATTGTAAACCTACCTGTAATATTTGAGGTTCTAGAGAAGAGAATTTGCTTTCTATTCGTTGATAGTCAATACTTCCTCGTAATAATAATATCTGGGGATTATTGATTTTACATTTCATCTTTTTATGGGCCACATTCTTTGTAAACACCAACCCATGGATTAATAACGTTTCATTTTTATGACCACCAGGCACCTGAAAAAATGTAAATATTTCTTTGTTTATCACTTCTAACATTAAATATATTTCTCATTTTTACTTAATATCATTACGTCTAGGTAGATGTATTGAGTACCATCTTCATTTACTTAATTTTTTTATAAACAATAGTTTAATTCAGTAAATATCTGACTTTGGATTGGGGAACAGTCCATGCCTTGTGTAACCCTTGGCCCTCTCTCTGATAAATATATAAGTCTTTATTAGCCTTTTAGATGATGAAATAGAGGCTGTTAAACTCATTTTGCATATTGAGTACGGTATTGTATATTATCAGTAGGTCTATTTAGGGTCTATTGAGTACTGTACTGTATATTATTATAAGGTCTATTTAGGATGTACTGAGTACTGTATTGTATATTATCATTAGGTCTATTTAGGGTCTATTGAGTACAGTATTGTATATTATTATAAGGTCTATTTAGAGTGTATTGTGTACTGTATTGTATATTATGCAGGCTACCATATTTTGGAAAGGTCATGGGTAACTAATAAAAATAAGTTACCAAGCTGAACAGTGGACCAAGTCAAACTGCAAACACATGTAACTGTCACCATTAAATGTTGCACAAACTTTTTTTTTACAAAATTTCTAGACCTTATATTACCTGGGGTACTTTTATTTTACCAAGTCCCAGGTTATTAAAAGAATAAACGAAAAAGTTCAAAACCATTTACCTTTTTTACATGTAAATATTGTCTAATATCAAGATTATCTCCTTCCGAGATGATATCTGGTCGTACAAAATGGCTGATCTTTGTTACGTAAGTTAATATGATCGGTTCCCAGTGGAATGATAAACCTCGTTGACTCAACAACTGTTTAGCCATCGCATTCCAATGATCTGTATGGCATGTCCTAGAGAATAAAATGAAATCATGTATAGTACGTCCTACAGTATATTATAAAGTTATATACAGTGGACTCTGTGATCATTTCCAACATTTAAATACTACAGCATTCTGTGAAATCTGTCATCATTTTCATGTCCAGATTGAATTCCTTGTTACTCCAACCAAAAAATTTTAACCGCCATAAGAAAAATTTTACTCAAATGCTAAGTTTGAAAACATCAACAGAATGACGCACGGGTGGTTTAAGGGTGTGGACAGACGTACAATACGTATAATACGTGAAGCAATGAGACAACTGAGTATTCTGACATGCTGAGTAATCTGGCATATTGTATCGATCCTGTACGACGTCGGAATTGACAGAGTCCACTGTATACCTATATTATAATTTCCCTTTCCCTTGTGCAATAAATGAACACTCAAATTTCCCTTTTCCAATGTGTGCTAAACACCACTCAAATTTCCCTTTTCCAATGTGCGCTAAACACCACTCAAATTTCCCTTTTCCAATGTGCACTAAACACCACTCAAATCCCCCTTTTCCAAATGTGCGATAAAAGTCATGCTAACTTTCCCTTTTCCAATGTGTGATAAACACCACTCAAATTTCCCTTTTCCAAACATGCGCTAAACACCACTCAAATTTCCCTTTTCCAAATGTGGTAAACATGGAAATAAAAATCATCTGTTTTGTTTCCAAATGACTGAAATATTGTTGTTAAACATAATCTTTGAGTGGCATTTAGCGATCAGGAAACACATTAAAGCGGAAATTTCAAATTTTTAAGATATATTTTTAAAATTTATCAAAATAAAGCCTGAAAATAGATGGTATCCATAAACAGTCCTACCTTGTTAAAGAATAACCCTATTAATCCTATAATTCACTATTGCCAGCTGAGAAATTGGCAAAAATATCATTTTCAACTTCAAATTCCAACATTGGGAGATGGCTGAACACATGTTGTCAATAGGAGAAAACAAGGGAGGTAATTGTGTTATTATTTCCTGTGTCAATGATTTTTGAGGGTGGGAAATAATGCCCATGATCGTATAATAGTCAGTTGATAACCTACTGAGCAAAAGACATAGATATAATTATGTTTTGACTTTCTTAGAAAATTTGAAATTTTCGCTTTAACAGAACACAGTTTTTTTGGGATACAATCACTGGTTTATTTTAAAAGCAAGACGTTTCGACAAGTATCCTCTTATCGAAACATCGTGATTTTAGAATAAAACTAGTGATTGTATCCCATAAAAACGATGTTATTTTAATGAAATATTGTGTTGACGAGAGACACAACCCCATTCCATTCCCTCAATGTGTGTCACCAGTATAGATAATACTGTAACCCAGGTATCATTTAATTTTGTGTATCTAGCACTAATTTCTTTCACATTCGTTTAATATCAAATCTTTGTTTAAAAATTTGTAAAAGTTATGTAAAATCATCCAAAATCATCTAATTTGTACTTGTGTCCAGTTTAAAGCTGACTGATTAATTTTGATAATGAGTGTCCAATTTACAAGTATTTAATTTCCTGACCACTGTTCAAAATTTAATCATTGAACATCAATAATCAATTGGGTTGTTTATTTTTTAACAGTGATTAAACACTGGACATTCATTATCAAAATTGAATGGTCAGCTTTAAACTGGACACAAGTAAAAATTAGATGATTTTGAATGATATTATATGATTTTTACAAATTTTTAAACAAAGATTTGATATTAAACGAATGGGAAAGAAATTAGTGCTAGATACACAAGATTAAATGATACCTGGGTTACAGTGCCTGTATATCCTAGATAATACTGTACCGTAATCTATCGTAGGCCAGTTTTTCACCATTCTCTTCTCGTAATTCATCCACAACACGCCAACCATGTGGACATGTTTTCTGATCAGGCGCCGTGGTCGTCGTGTCTGTTAGAAACGTTCCTGTAAACATAATCATTCACTACTTAAAATGGTGGACAAATTTCAATAACCAAAACTGAGAGAGCGAGACAAGATATTGGGTTTAACATCCACTCTACACAAACTAGGTAATTTCGGGACTAACATATGGTTCAATTCTATTTCAAGCATTGGGAGGAAACCCGAGGACCTGGAAAAAACACAAGAGATTGGACAAGCGACCCTACTCCTTGTCACGTACAAGCGGGGAATCAAAACCACATCAGTTGACTCAATGACAGACCTCTGCGACTCAGCGCGCATGCATTACACCATTCGGCCCCCATCCCCCATTATGCATTACACCATTCGGCCCCCATCCCCCATTATGCATTACACCATTCGGCCCCCATCCCTCCATTACCAAATCCATGTACAAAGTACCTTTTTATATTATCTCTTCAACTACATGTACTGAAAATATTACCTTTAAGAAATTCATCTGTCAGACCAGCTGCAGAAGAATCTTGACGAGGCAGTGGCTCTTCGTTCAATTCAAAAGGTACAGGTGTTACTTTAATTAAACAGAAAATAAAATAAAACTTGATCAATTCTTGCTTTTGGGTTTTTCTTAAAACAATATTTTTATTCAGGTTGTCTGAATGGGATTGGGGAACTGGCTTAGCATATGTAAAACACATCTCAATGTTTGCTTGAATGATATCATTTTATAAAATACTAATATGTTGGCTTGGTTTATATTTTATTTTCATGAAATGAAATGAAATGGGGCTAACGTCTTACTGTTCTGCTCCGACTCGGCTAACGAAGACAGGCATACACCACACTGTGTGCTATGAGGGAAATTTTGATCGGACAGCGGCACCACTGCCTACTCTATCGAATTCCAACTCTCAAGGGATCTTTTACGTGCACACCAATGTGTACACGTGACCTGAATTTTTCGGCCTATCAGAGCGACTATACGTTGTCCCTTGCCAGGCTCTCTGGCCCTTGCCACTAACAAGGGGAATTCAGTCAGAAAAATCTCTAGGAAGTTTCTCGGTCAACATCATCATTTTAAAATCAAGCAATTGTTTATCAAAAATGACAAAAGAGAGAGAGAGAGAAATGGGGTTTAACATTCACTCGACACAAACTAGGTCATTTTGGGACTAACATATGGTTTTTAATTTTTTATTTCAATAATTCGCTTGCGCGTAGGGGTCTTTGACAGTGGGAGGAAACCAGAGGACCAGGAGAAAACCCATGAGGTTGGACAGGCGACCATGTGCTAACCAATCGGCCATCCACCCCCCCAACCCCCTGCATAAATCAACAGAATATTTAAAAATCTTACATTTGGAGAGATCCCCGGAGAAACTACCACTATCAGATGGATCACCAAGATAAAACATGTGACGCGAACTTGTCTCTGATTGGCTTTTGGCTCTGTCCGAGTCTGATGGTGAGGCTGTTGAAATAATATTACAAATACATTTTATGAATAATGAATTCTAAAATTCCAGCAATATGTAAAAAAAAAAAGTACAAAACTAATGCAAATCACTGAGAGAAATTGAATTTCAAAATTGAAATAAGAGAGAGAGAGAGGGGGTGAGGGGGGTGAGGTTTAACCTACACTCAACACAAACTAGGTCATTTGGGGACTAACACATGGTTCAATTTTATTTCAATAATTTGCTTCCATGTAGGGGTCTTTAGCAGTGGGAGGAAACAGGAGGACCCGGAGAAAACCCACGAGGTTGGACAGACGACCCTACTCCTTGTCACGTACAACCGGGGAATAGAAACAATGCCAGTTGACTCAATGACAGACCTTATGATACAGCGCACACAAGCTAACCATTCGGCCATCCAACCCCCCTCAAGAGAAATAAAAACAGAAGATTAGAATTCTATATATAACAAAGTTAAAGAATATAATATCAGGTTTCGAAATTATGAAAATTATATTTGCAGGCCCTCCCTATCTGACTGGAGTCAAAGTAATACAGCGCAAAACATTTTCTGCTGACATCTATAGCTAAAATACTTCCAGTCGATCTCATCTAGGTGTCATTTTCCAAGGAAATCACTCCCCACCCCCTCTCCCTTCAATAAATTATAACTTTAACCCGCTAAAATACTTCCAGCCGATCTCATTTATGTGTCATTTTCCAATGAAATCTCCCCCGTCCCTCAATAAATCATGATTGTAACCAAGGTATACGACCCTTTAACTTACAATAATCTATAGCACCTGACTCTATTTCCTTCAACCACAGGGGTTCGTTACTAGATTTCTCTTCTACTGAACTACTGGATCCTTCTGTATTTAAACCAATTTCTAGAACGGTTGATAACTGATAAAAACAATTTAAAACATCAAAACATGCAACATTATATATCTAAAATTATTTAAACCAATTTCTAGAACGGTTGATAACTGATAAAAACAATTTAAAACATCAAAACATGCAACATTATATATCTAAAATTATTTTGCAAAAATATTTTCTACATCACTATTGCTTTTTAAAAGTAAAAATGCAATCTGATTGAAATACAGATCTATATTTCATTCTGTTTTTTTTTTTAATTTCGATGGCCTCTACTACATGAAGATGTTACCGGTTGTAGTGGAAGATCGCATCAGAGGACATAAAAGTGGCTTTTGACCCTATGACGTCAGACATTTTATTAACAAATCAGCGTTGATGTGCATCCCACAACAAAAACTCGCCGTTTCATTGGCTAATCGCCCACATCAACCAGAAAATGAGTTATATAACAACACTTCCAGATCCTAGTGTAGTAATTATAAAGACATATAAAACAATATTTTGAGCTATAAAAAAGGAAACAAAATACGATCTATGTTTCAGGTTTCTACAGGATATCAGAAGGTCTTATAAAATACTCTGACAAATTTGCAGAATGCCGTCTTAGATGTTCTGCAATTGATAAATTCCATTTCTAGTTATTTGTACATTTACATAAATGAAATTTACCTAGCATAAAATCATCATATCACTCCACTTAAACCCAGGTTAATATAATAAGATGAAACTTGACTGAACATTCCGGAAATGAATTATCTCAATCCCCAAAATAGTGACAATTGACTAAAAAGGGGGATTTGGGGCTACAGCGCAAGTACCGACTGCATAAGAAAATATCCCCCCCAAAAAAACATGAGAGCTGAAATATATTTGTTGTTTAATTACATCACGATTCTACTAACACCACCTAAGTTGTCAGGACTGACAGACATGTGACAGAACTGTGACAGGATTGTGTCAGGACTAACAGAACTGTGTCAAGACTGACAGAACTGTGACAGTACTGACAGAACTGTGCCAGGACTGACAGAACTGTGAAAGGACTGAATTTCGAGTTACCAAATTGAAATTCTGACAAACGAGCATCCCTAATAAAATCATCACATGACTTACCTCCCCTGGTTTATAAAGGGTAAAATCATCGCGGAATATATTATACTGTGTACCTACAGCCTCAAGATAATCAGCATATAATAAAGCTTGTCCAATAGCTACACCCTGTTCTCTGTAAATAAAAAATATAAAATTAGCCTGTGCTATTTTGTATTCAAATGATTAGACACTGTTCCTTCGGTCTTCTATCCTACAACACTGACATGGAGAAGCCAGACTGGGAAATATTGAAGATCTTTTCTCGTCCAACCATGGGATCATACCTGGGACATCCTGGTTAATGAGCCAGGTCCATACTCAATGAACCTCAATGGAATGGAAATGAAATGGGGTTTAATGTCCAACTTGTTCTGTTCCGGCCGGGCTAATGAAATGAAATGGGGTTTAATGTTCAACTGTTCTGTTCCGGATGGGCTAATGAAATGAAATGAAAAGGGATTTAACGTCCTACTGTTCTGCTACGAACTGGGCTAATGAAGACGAGCATACGCCATACAGTGTGCTATGAGGGAAATTTTGCCCAGACAGCGGTGCTATGGCCTACTTTTATATTGAAATTTCCACGGGGCCTCTGTTTTCTGTACCATCCGAACGACTAGACAGCTGTGCTTGTCAGGCCCTCCATCCTGCACCACTGACAATGAGAAAATACACTGAAAAATCCAGATGAACATTCTCGAACCCACGATCTCCAGGCTAGCGAGCCAGCATCTTACTCGCTTAGCCACAGTGGCTATATTGCATGCTTTTGATGCAATAAAATCACATGACTGGCAGTGAAGTTTATGAATGGGGCTACCCTCAATAATAGAACTACGATGGTATCCATAAACTTAACTACATTTTTAATGTAATCAAATGGCTGACCCAGAACTGAAGTCGATGAATGTGGATACCATTTTTATCAGGCCTATGATGTCATTCATTAGAAAATATTCATACCTTTTAGCAGCTTTGTCCTTATTTATCAACCAATCAACTAATTCCTTGCCGATAACACATCTTTGATAAGTTCGTAATCGTATTCTATGACTCTGCATGTCAACCCCTGTAACCGGATCCTGGATCTGACGCCAGATTTCTCGAAGTTGTACCGAATCCTATCAATAAAGTCGATTATAGAATTATTACAAATATTCAGGGATTTCACTTCAAAATTTTTCCCAGCCTGTCATGTTCATCCTCGGTATCCCCAACTGTATCGTTCCGTTCTACTCCACTAACCCCTGGGTATATTCACACGGGGAGACAGTCACATTATCCGCCCTTGTTAATTGAATCGTCGTAAACAAAATACTTTAGGACATCTTTTGTCGGGTGTTCGATCCCTGCAATGGCCGAGAAAGTTTATCTGGATTTTCCGACGTGGTTTCCCCTTGTCAATGGTGCAGAACGGAGGGCCTGACAAGGACAGCTGTCTAGTCCTTCGGATGAGACGAAAAACCGAGGTCCCGTGTATACATTGGAATGCACGTAAAAGATCCCTTGGCAGTTGGAATTCGATATAAGAGTAGTGCCGCTGCCCGGGCAAAATTTCCCTCATAGCACACTGTATGGCATATGCCCGTCTTCATTAGCCCAGTATAGGAGCAGAACAGTAGGACGTTAAACCCCATTTCATTTCATTTCATTTTTTATATTTATTTCCTTGCTATGTTTCTCATAATGGAACGTACAAGCTGCCGTAGTCTGTATTGTGATGAACATAAACAGTGATGCTAAGACTGGTATGTAATCTGTTTTTTGATTGGTTTGTAGTCATCAAGGGAAGATAATTTGAATCCATGAACAGAACGATACCACTGGAGATACCAATGATGGTCAATGTTTACCTCAGATTTGCAAGATATTTTTTTTGTAAGAATGACATTTTTTTAGTATTGTATATCTAAACATATACATATATATATATAAAAAGCAAATTTCTCTTTTATGGCAAGGGTTCTTTAACGTGCACACCAAAGTATACATTTTTCACACTACAAATGTACATCATCTACTATCAATACATACCCGACTAAGCATTTTTCTCTCAGTAAGAAGTGAGTCTGAAAGCGAGAACTCGGACTGGGGTGTGAGATCAAAGGGTAGTATTTTAAGTCCTGTAGAACTCTGTATATCTAGTGGACTGACACATCTACAAAATACAAAACAAAATATGTGTGATATAAAACATACTAAATGATTCAATAATTGAAATATAAATATCACCTGATCGTACATGAACACAACGGTCACTAATAAGACAAAACAAAAACAAAAATAGAAAAAGTCTGTGCATTACCATGTTTTTATTAAGCATAGAATGAATAAAAACAAGGGAATGTACGGGCTATTTCTATTTTTCTCGTGTTCTCTTATCTAATGATATTCAATTATTTTTTAGAATTGTCAGATATCCTCCCACAGTCTCACATAACAACTGTTGGACTTCGTAGGAATTATCAGTGAGCTAAAATTCAACCATGTATCTGTTATCGCTTTTTACTTCAGTCAGTTATATAGAAGGATAACTCCTGTTTTCCTTTTGTTTTCGTCACTTCTGTTTCTTCAAATTCATCGTAGCATTGATCTGTGTCTTAAAATTATATTTGCAACATGTTTAACCAGTTCTATCACATATGTGATAATGGCTGACACCAATATTGTCCTTTAAGGAACACTACTGAGGCTAAAAATAGCAAATTTTAATGGAATTATATGAGAAATAACAAATAAAGTGAAAAAAAAAAAAAAATTAGGCTATTTCGATATTTTGTTTTCACAGGACTGATTTAGAATACAAGACTGTTAACCTTGGCAGCCCGTGATATTTGGAAACGATACGGATTATAATGCCAAATCCACCTCCGACTTAAATCGGTTTTGTGCGACCAAAATAAATATATGTTGTCATTTATCTATATTTAGCTTATTTCTTGTATGTCATCAAAGTTATGATATCATATTAACATCCATCTTAAATGGAAGCCTTGATCTCTCTTTAACTACGTTTATCTTATCAAGGCATTCGCGTAATACCCTGCATATTCCGACACACTAATTTTGATTGGGCATTCACACAGCTTGGGAGCCTATCAGATTCCTTGATCATCGCGAATACCAAGTCTCGCACTTTCAAACTAAAATGTCTACCTGTGATGATCGAGCTGCAAATTTCAAGGTTCATTCAATGTCAAGGTTTCCATTGAGGTCACTTTGTGACAACCTCTGATTGGACACTACTGTTCACGTGTCTGTAGATAATGTAGCTATAAGTTTGTGAATTGTAAAGTAATCTAGTAACGTCCACATGTTGTAAAACTCGCAGTCGTTGCTTCAGGAACATGATTAAAATCATGAAACCACTGGTTACTATGACTCTCATTGTGCTTCAAATTTCGTTTGTGTTCTCCAAAGAAATAAGTTTTTACACTTACAAGATGGTTTTGTGATACCCTTGACTTTGTTTTTTTACCAAAATAAATATAAACATATTTTACTATACCTTTGCTGAGGCGAACAGATGTCATCCGATATTAGTGACGCCCTTTTACTAAGTGGTGACCAGATGTTAAAATCGGGCGTGGTACCATATTCCGTTGAATCTATTGGCGATATACTGACATCATCCTGTTGATTTCTCTCATATTCAGAATCTTGGGCGTATCGTAAAACAACTTTACAACAATAAGCACACACACGTATACCCCCTGTAAAATAAAAACATATTTAAAATGAAATACAGTAAAATATATAAAATCGATGTGGAGTTGAATGTCTCTTCAACACGATATAAAATCGATGTGGAGTTGAGAGTCTTGTCAACACAATATAAAATCGATGTGGAGTTGAGAGTCTTGTCAACACAATATAAAATCGATGTGGAGTTGAAAGTCTTGTCAACACAATATTAGAACGGTGTGGAGATGGAAGTCTTAACACGATATAAGTACGGTGTGGAGTTGAAAGTCTTGTCAACACGATATAAGAACGGTGTGGAGATGGAAGTCTTAACACGATATTAGAATGATGTGGAGTTGAAAGTCTTGTCATCACGATATAAGTACGGTGTGGAGTTCAAAGTCTTGTAAACACGATATAAGTACGGTGTGGAGTTCAAAGTCTTGTCAACACAATTTAAGTACGGTGTGGAGTTGAAAGTCTTGTCAACACGATATAAGAACGGTGTGGAGATGGAAGTCTTAACACGATATCAGAACGGTGTGGAGTTGAAAGTCGTGTCAACACGATATAAGAACGGTGTAGAGTTGAAACACGATATAAGTACGGTGTGGAGTTGAGAGTCTTGTCAACACAATATAAAAATGGTGTGGAGTTGAAAATCTTGTCAACAGAATATTTTGCGTTATTTTTAGAATTAACATGCTAGTTACACGTGACCATCCTCACCCACCAACCTCTGAGATATCATGCAAATAAGATGTTATTTTCTGTACACAGTTCATGCTGAGGTTTGAATTAGAAAATTAAAGAAGACAGCTAAATGCCATGCTCTGTATGTGCAATGGGAGGACACCTGGGGTCCCAAAGAAAATCTACAAGGTTGGACAGGTGACCCTACTCCTTGTCACATACAAATGCCATGCTCTGTGCAATGGGAGGACACCTGGGGACCCAAAGAAAATCCATAAGGTTGGACAGGTGACAATACTCCTTGTCACATACAAGTGGGGAATTAAACCACGCCACTTGACTAAATGACAGACCTTTAGATTTCACACACTTGAATTAAACCACTAGACCATCCCCCCAGGCTAATGAAGACGGGTATACCCCACGCAGTGTGCTATGAGGGAAATTTTTCTCTGACAGTGGTGTTTCCACCATCCAAATCACAAGGGTTCTTTTACGTGCGCGACAACGTATACACAGGACCTCATATTTTTTGTCCCATCCAAATGACGAGGCACCAAGAACACAAGAGAGAGAGAAATAGAGAGAGAGAGAGAGAGAAATGGGGTTTTATGTCTACTCGACACAAAATATGTCATTTCGGGACTAACATATGGTTCAATTTTATTTCCATAGTTCGCTTGCACATAGAGGTCTTTAGCAGTGGGAGGAAACCGGAGGACCCTGAGAAAACCCACGAGGTTGGACAGGCGACCATACTCCTTGTCACGTACAACCAGGGAATCGAAACCACGCCAGTTGACTCAATGACAGACTTTATGATACAGTGCACACATGCTAACCATTCAGCCATCCCCCCCTCCCCCCCCCCCCCCCAAGGGAAACAACACTGGAAAATTATAAGGATATATCTACGCTAACCCCACGATCAAACCCCCTGTCCTCCTGGTTAGTAAGCCAGCACTTTATGCCTAGCCACTGTGGCCCCCTTCAGATTCCGTCAACAATTCATACCATTACTTGAGTATCATAATCAAAATGAAATGATTATTAATAAATGTAAATAAATATGTATGTTAATATGTATATACTAATTCTATTAACATACAAAACCATTACAACTCATAATCAATATCTAAACATTTTGAAAAATCAGGAAATAGTTTACTACAACAATTGGTTATTTATCAAACCAGTTTGGAATGAATAGTCCTGCACTGATCAGCAGTGAATATTCGCTCGGCCACTACAATCACTGATACAGATGACATCGGTATGGGTTAATAAGCCACAAATATTAACTTTTTTCCTGCTGCAACTTAAATCCTAGAACATTTTTTTAAGCATTAGAAAAATAAATAAAGGTGTTTGAAGTATTTGTAGGTAAACAATATTTCCTATTTAGTGTAAATGGGTATGTTAAATGAGTAAAAGGCACCCCATTCTGCCCAGACCAGTAACGTCTTATGTTAACAATGAACGCGCCGTTGAGCCAATGATTGACGCTGTGTGATGTGACATCATATGTTGAAAGCAGTCATCTTTCACAGAGTTATTAGAAGACTTTCGTAATGCTCTGTGAAACAGATTGGAATAGTCCCGAGGAAAAAGCATGCCAATATTTTTGTCGATTTTGTCGATCATACTTGAATTTGTGCATCCTCTGATCTGTATCCCCCGGTAGAATCGTTCTGTTCTCCTCCACTAACCTCTGGGTCCATCCACGTTGTTGTACAAATTCAAATTATCTGCCCTTGATTGTAGGTTGATTGTATGAACCAATTAAAAAACAGTTTCCATATTAATCTTGGCGACATTGTTTACGTTCAGCACAATACTTCTGTTCACCCACTTGATTGGTCAATAAAAATAGAAGTATCAAGGGTGGATAATTTGACTATGTGTTTCCAATGTGGATGGACCCAGGGATTAGAAGAATAGAGCAGAACGATATCACTGGGGATACAGAGGTGGGAATTTGTGAAGTCTTAGGGAATTTATGAAGTCTTAGCCTTTTTTCAAAGAGTGTCGCCCACAAGATAACAACAAGACAAACAACAAGATGAACAACAATATGAACAACAACAATATGAACAACAACAATATGAACAACAACAAGATGAACAACACAAGATGAACAACAACAATATGAACAAGGTGAACAACAACAGTATGAACAGCAATATGAACAACAAGATGAGCAACATACGATGAACAGCACACAATGAACAACAACATGATGAACAACAAGATGAACAAGGTGAACAACAAGATGAACAAGGTGAACAACACAACAAGATGAACAACACCATGAACAACAACAAGATGAACAGGAATATGAACAAGAATATGAACAACAACAAGATGAACAAGAATATGAACAACAACAATATGAACAACACAAGATGAACAGCAACAATATGAACAACAAAATGAGTAGATATCGGGGCCCTGTTCATGGTCCAAAAATATGAAATTTTGAGAAGCTCTAACCTGAATAGCTGAATATATATACACAGTGAGGATAGTCCTTTACCATCCAAAAGAGTCATAAAAAAAGAGTCTGTATGTATGTTGCAAAAGAGTCAAAGAAAAGTGAATTATCACCCAAAAGTGTCAAAGAAAAGTGATTTATCATCCAATAGAGTCAAAGAATAGTCACTTATCACCCAAAAGAGTCATAGATAATATTTCAATAATATGTCAAGCTAAAAACATTTCAATTCAGTTTATAAAGTAGTAACCCCTTTCCCCTCATAAGCTAAATGCATTCATCTAAATAAAGCAGAGAGAGTATCGCTCATCATGACTTAAAGGAGAGTCTATTTTTATAAAGTGGTGTTTTACCTTGCAACAGGAACTTACAGTGAATACTACCCATAACATCTATTTGTTCCAAAATATACATTTATGTCATATAAGTAATTTCGGAGGTCAATACTGCACAAAGTCTTAATATTACATTATAATACCTTGACAACTAATTAGAAATATCTTCATTCTTCACAACAAATGACATGGGGTTTAATGTCCTACTTATTTGTACCGACAGGGCTAACGAAGACTGACATGTGCTATACAGTGCACTATGGGGGAAATTGTGCTGACATGTGCCATACAGTGCACTATGGGGGAAATTGTGCTGACATGTGCCATACAGTGCACTATGGGGCAAATTGTGCTGACAATGTGCCATACAGTGCACTATGAGGGAAACTGTGCTGACAAGTGCCATACAGTGCACTATGAGGGAAATTGTGCTCTGACAGCGGCTTTCCATCAAATTCAAACTAACAAGGGCTTTTTGTTACATGCAAACCAACATGTACATTTGACATTAGTTTTTTGTACCAATTGATCAACTAGACATGTTATTCTGGAGTTCTAGAGGTAATAATATAACCAAGAACACACAAAATTTTTACACTAGATTTACCATGACACCCCCTGACCCCCTGGACACTTTCTTAAGCCCTGCACCTGAACTCGGTTATCCTGCCTAATTACATGCTTGTAGCCCATTCAATAGCCAAGCCAAGCACTCTATTTATGTACATGCATTGGATTAACTTTAACTCTGTTTACGATTCAAATGCATCAATGACAATATCGAACAAAGCCTATAAATAGTCATTCTTGCATTCTTAAATACATTCTCTTAAAGAAGTCTATATGTTAATTTAATAACAAAATATTCCCAATACATCAATATCAATTTACCTTTTAAATTGATATAAATAAAAAAAATATTCCCAATAGATAACACTGGTAAAGCTGATACCGTCAACTAATGAAGCTAGGCCTTTTAGTAATGACAATTTTTGTCATTAAATCATACACTGTAACCCAGGTATCATTTAATTTTGTGTATCTAGCACTAATTTCTTTCACATTCGTTTAATATCCAATCTTTGTTTAAAAATTTGTAAAAACTGTTTAAAATCACCATAAATCGTTTAATTTGTACTTGTGCCCAGTTTAAAGCTGACTGATTAATTTTGATAATGAGTGTGCGATTTACAAGTGTTTAATTTCCTGACCACTGTTAAAAAATTAATCATTATACATCATTAATGAATTGGGTTGTTATTTCTTAACAGTGATTGAGAAATTAAACACTTGCAAATTGGACACTCATTATAAAAATTGAGTGGTCAGCTTTAAACTGGACAGTAGTACAAATTTAACGATTTATGGTGATTTTAAACAGTTTTTACAAATTTTTAAACAAAGATTTGATATTAAACGAATTTGAAAGAAATTAGTGCTAGATACACAAGATTAAATGATACCTGGGTTACAGTGATATAAGTGGTCAATATTCTAAACTAATGTTTAGTATGTATAGAAAGTGGTTAGAAATTATACCGTTGTCATTAATTAGCAGGTGTGTAACTAGCCGTAAAAAATGTCACTACTGGTGTAAAAAAAAATGACTTTTTATAACAGCCATCACTATTGAATACACAAAATTAAACCTGGACAATAGTGGTGTATATCATTCGATAGTCACCTTAGTGACAAAACACCTACTTAATGACCACTGTCTCATTACTAACAATTTTAACTAACTAATATAATGCATATAAACTGATGACTTTGATCTATAGTGTCGTATATTTTCATTTATAACAGTTATTTGTTGCTTAGTCAACGATATCAATATTACAGTATAAACCTTGACTAGTCATTCCATAGTATACAAGGAAATAAAAGCTACAAGTCATAGTGAAATATTATTATTATTATTATCTAATCAGATTACAAAGGTCATGACCCCTTTATATCCATTTAACTTGACACTATACATAGTATACATGTACATACATATTATCCCAGCATTTAAAAAAAAAAAAACCCTGGTCAGCAGTTATTTTCAACCAATGATCAAGTTTTAAAACTTACATTGTGTTACAACAATTATAATCTTTGAGAGGCATTTAGTAACTGGACAGACCAATAAACTATAACACATACTTATGGAAAAACAGCTACTTACCTATTTGGGCGACGTTTCTATTAGCTTGTTATTAGCTTAATAACGTTGGGAGAATACTCTTCCAAACGTCGCACAAATAAATAAGTAGCTTAATCCTTATAAGACATATACAGGTAGATTTCACAAATTAAAAACACTTATATGGATATACTACTTCTGAATTTATTAACATGCTACGTTTCGATACACATACAGATATCGTTATCAAGCAAATAATGATATATAACAAAAATGTGGTGCAATATATAGTTAACAATTGGAAACCATGTAACAGATTAATCATTAAGTTTTTCCAAAAGTATGTGTTATAGTTTACAACTATTATAGTTGTGTAGTTTAGAAGTGTTTCTCAAAAGGTGTTGAGTAATTAACAGACTAATTAATTACTCAACACTGCTCTTTAAACTAAACAGTTATAAACTCAACACTCAGTATATAATGTAGACAGATCCTTTAAACTACACAATCAATTTGATTAACCCTTAACCGGTCATTGTCGACTGTAGTTACCACAACGTTATACAGCTAAGTGGTCACAACCACAGCAAGAACCTTTTTTATAAGCTGCATTTGAGTATTTAGTTTCGTATTTAATTGATATGGCCACGCATGCGTGTCAGACAGGAACTTGTCTAGTCAAGGGCATTGAGAAAAACATGTCTTTGTTCAACATTCTTGACGAAAAACGTAATTTAACGATGTCGGGAATGTTAAAGACGCTCAAAGTGGTTGAAATACTTATGAATTATTCTGACTCGGTTTATATCGATGACACCGATTCTGAAAGCGATACTTCTGACGAAAAGGAATTAGAATGATTTGCAAATTATAGATCAACTTATCTCCTTCAACTTTTTTATTGATGTCAAGAGTCTATCACTTATAATTATTCGGCAGTAGTCGATTGAAATAGGCATACAAAATATTTCACATCAGCCTTTATTTAGCCTGACCACTTGACGTCATGACGTCAAAATGACGTCGACCGGTTAAGGGTTAACTTATGAAGAAGACCAAGAGATGTAACCTAAAGCATAAATAATTTTTTATAAATATACCTTAAATAACATTTTAAAAACCATGAATGTTACCTCTTTCTTCCTCCTCATCTGAACACTAATCTAACCCATTAAACAAAATTCAATCAAAGCACGCAAACATCTTATAGTATGCAAATTTTATCTCCATGACCACATATAGTAGTAAGTAAGATATTTGTACATATGTAAACTTAAGTTTGTTTCAAGACAAATTTGCCGCCTATCTCATCCAAATGTATTAGCAAATAAAATTAGGTCATGTGGTCCTCTTTAAAGATCACCAGAAAAACTTCATAAATTTTTTAAATAATGCAAGTAATTATGCCAATATATCCATTCCATAAGTATAACACGATCCCAAATCAATGATACCTGACACAGTTAAATTTCAACGATAGTAATTTACGTTAGCAATTTATGCCGTTGTCCGTGAGTAGTTGTAACTTTCCGACAATAAACAAGACATATTTCTATGAGCAGAAGTACTAAAATAATGTCACGGCTTGTTATCGTCGGAAAGTTACAACTACTCACGGAGAACGGCATAAATTGCTAACGTTGAAATTTAACTGTGGCAGGTAACATACATTTGGGATCGTGTTAATACTTATGAAAGGATATGTTGACATAATTACTTGTATTATTCAAAATAGTTATGAAGCTTTTCCGGTGATCTTTAAGTGAAGTGGTATCTGAAAACCAGAATATTTTTTATATGGCCTATATATTGTGCGCACATATAATTTCTATTGTAAGAATGTGCACAGCTGAGAGAGAACAGTGATCACAAAGCAAATTAAGACATAAGATTAGATTCAATGGAAACTTATATACTCTTCAAAAAAAGTAGGGGATATTGAAATGCAAATGCCTATGCAGGTTGTGATATGATAAATAGTCATGGACACTTGACATGCCTTGAGAATTTGTTCACAGATGAAGAACTTATCGCCCCAATATACGTGGGAGGGGTTCATTGTCAAATTTGACACTTTAAGGAAAGGTTGATAAAAACTGCTGCGTGCTCGTTTATCTATCTATGTTAGCATTCCTATCGGTTCTTGCATAAGATTTACTGTTTAGCGTATCTTTGCTTTAGTGTGTTAAGTTAAATTTGATCGGGTGACTTTGACGTCAATGTCAACCGACAACACTGCAAGAATTGGCCGTGGCACTGCAAGAGGAGTGGGTCAGATTGCCCCAAATTGTGATTGGACGGTTGATTAGGAGCATGCCACGACGAATTGCTGAATGTCTCCGGATTGGTGGAGCAATTACTCATTATTAAGACAAAAATCAAAAACGTCCCCTTTTCACTTTTGACGGAGTATCTCTTTGCAAGTGAAATGGGGCCGTCAGATAAACCGCTCATATGAACTGTTTATGTTCATGTGTAGGCAATTGACCTGTTATTAACATACACTGGTTACCTCTAATAAAAACAGCAGTGTATTTCCGCAGTTCTGTATTGTTTCTGAATATCCCCTCCTTTTTTGAAGAGTATATAATTTTGGAGCAGAATAAAAGAGATTGTTTGATTGTTAATTCCTACCTTTATATCCTATAGCTTTTCCTGGTAATTCCTGATTACAACATTTACTACAGAATATCTGGCCACAGACACGACAGTGATGACGACGTCTAAAAGTGGTAAATTTATCGCCACAATCATAACATTGTTTACAGCTGTGATCTGGCATCCAATACTGTTTAAAATCACTGTCTTTATAGGTTGTTGGTGTCTTTAAATATAAAATGAAATGGGTTTTAACATCCTATTGTTTTGCTGCAAATGGGCAAATGACGATGGTGTCTTCAAATAAAAATGAAAACAACTTGATTATTTTAAAAGAAAAATTAATGGTACCAAATAAATGATGGAACCAAAAAATATTGTTAAAATTCAACTTTTCACCAGTCCAATGAATTACAGTATGCATTTCTCTTTTGTTACAGGAGGAAAAGAGGCTCAGTGATTATGGAGAGAGAGGGAGAAATGGGGTTTAATGTCCACTCGACACAAACTAGGTCATTTTGGAACTAACATATGATTCAACATAGGGATCTTTAGCAGTGGGAGGAGAGAGAGAGAGAGAAATGGGGTTTAACGTCCACTCGACACAAACTAGGTCATTTCGGGACTAACATATGCTATTTTTAATATTTTATTTACATAATTCGCTTGCGCGTAGGGGTCTTTAGCAGTGGGAGGAAACCGGAGGACCCGGAGAAAACCCACGAGGTTGGACAGGCGGCCCTACTCCTTGCCACGTACAACCGGGGAAGCAGTGGGAGGAAACCGGAGGACCCGGAGAAAACCCTCAAGATTCGATAGGCGACCTTATAAGGAATCAAACCATGCCACTTGACTCAATGACAGACGTTATGATTTCATCTAGTAATTGGGATGGTTCGAAAGCTGAGATTCTATGCACACATGCACATTAAAGATCCCTTGACAGTTTCAATTCAATGAGGAGTCAAAGGAAAAGCTGAAAATAACAGATGTATTGGGTTGACCAGACAGATTTTTCGCAGGTAGGATTTTTACAAAAAATGTTAGAGCTAGTTATATTAATTGCAATATTGGGTTGACCAGATATTCTTTTTGCAGTCAGATTTTTAGAAAAGATAATAGAGTTAGTCATATTAATTGCAATATCTACTTTGTATTGATGTCGTGAAACAATAATATCTTTTTGTTTTACAATAGATTAACAATTCAGTCTACTTAGTCCAAACATAATTCGTTGTAATTCAAGGGGAGATAATTTGGACCGGGTGCAATTCAGGCTACTTAATCCAGACAATATTTGTTGTAATTCAAGGGGAGATAATTTGGTTTAACAGCTCACCTGACTACTCGCACTTCTATCTATAATATTACCAAGACGTGTTAAAACATTAGACAGAGTTCTTTTTGGAATATTTCTCCGACCTCCCTGCCGAACAGTTTGACCATCAGAACTGTCTTCAAGTGGACCAACCTCATCATCACTTTCCTCTACAAAAGATTCAAATATAAATATGTCTTAATAGAATTTCCGGTGGGATAGCAAGGGTTGAGAGAGAGAGAGAGAGAGAGAGAGAGAGAGAGAGAGAGAGAGATGGGTTAACGTCCACTCCGTCGGCACAAACTAGGTCATTTCGGGACTAACATATGGTTCTTTTTTTTTTTCAATAGTTCAGTTGCACATAGGGATCTTTAGAAGTGGGAGGAAACCATGGTTCCCGTAGAAAACCAACGAGGTTGGACAGGCGACCTTACTCCTTGTCATGTACAACTGCAGAATCAAAAAAGTCGAACTAGAAATGTAGCTGCGTATCTATGCGATGTCCAATAAAAACAAATTTGGATCATTAAATTTTCATCTGATTTAAAAAAATCCTGTCCTTATTCTTCTTTGCATGTCAGTGGGATGATCTTCAGTAATGGTCACTCATTTAAAAAAAAAAAAACATTTCGTGGATACCTTTTGTAGCATCTTCAATCAGATCTGTGATTTGTTTAGAAGTTGAGCCTTCACCTTGGATGACATCTCTATTTGCACCTCGTTCTACTGACGCTTCTCTGGAGGACGCCTGGCTCCCTGTTGCTGACGAGCTATTGGATTGGTCAGATCCATCTGAAATATGATCACAATATTTTATTAATATCCTGTAGTCAAAAAAAATGAAATGGGGTTTAATGTTCTACTGTTCTGCATCAACTGGCCTAATGAAGACAGGCAATTTTGCCCAGATAGCATTGCTATGGCCTACTCTTATATCCAATTCCATATGTCAAGAGTTCGTTTAAGCCTGATTAGCAAGCCAATGTCTTACTTATTGAGCCACAGTGGCTACCATCCTGTAGTGTAATAATAATGTATTTCAAAGCCCACACTAAGATGCTGTTCAGTAGAGCTGTGGAATTCTGTAGAACATATAACAAGAAAAAACACAGATAATCAAATCAAATATTATTAACGTTTATTTTATTTGTATATCTAATTTCTGTACCATATTTTGTAAGAACTTAGTGGTGGAAGTTGTGTGCTAGAAAAATATACAACAATAATTATGTGGGAGCGTGTCACCGAGTCATTATGTGCTACATAAATTGGCTGTGGGACCCGGCTTTCGAGTTCACAAAGCATTCTCAGACTTAAGTTAAGAATTAACTCAATATTGTTTGCCTTTTTTAAACTAAAATATAACCCTTTATAAATTTTTTGTTGTTTTAACGTATCAAATACATCAATAAGAAACTATGTGCAAAGTTTTGTGTTTGTGGATCAAAGATATTTTGAAGAAAAAGGGATTGAAAGTTGAGTTAATTCTTAATTTAAGTGTGAGAATGCTTTGTGAACTGGAATCATGTGGCTAAGTGGGTAAGACGCTGGCTCGCTAGCCTGGAGGTCGGGTGTTCGATCCCTGCATTGGCCGAGAAAGTTCATCCAGATTTTCCGGCGTGGTTTCCCCTTGTCAGTGATACAGGACAGAGGGCCTGACAAGGACAGCTGTCTAGTCGTTCGGATGGGACAAAAAAAACCGAGGTTCCGTGTACACATTGGCGTGCACATAAAAGATCCTTTGACAATTGGAATTCGATATAAGAGTAGGCCGTAGCGCCGCTGTCCGGGCAAAATTTCCCTCATAGCACACTGTATGGCGTATGCCCGTCTTCATTAGCAGAACAGTAGGACTTTAAACCCCATTTCGTTTCATTTCATTTGCTTTGTGAACATGTGGCCTGCGCCCCTTCGAGACACAGTATACAGGAAGTAATGCTTGTAGTAATGCGCATAGTAAACAGTAACAAACTCTCATTAGAAACAAGTACGATCATACTATGGACCAGGAACTGACCATATTGTTGGGTGAAATTCAAAAATCTAATTCACCAAATCGATGCAGAATTGTTCAAAGCACAAGCATGCCAATTTCCATGTCGATCTCACTTATATTGACGGAGATTTAGACTTTTTCGAAGAGCGTCACCCCAAGAACAAGAAGAACAAGATTAGTAGTGGTTAGCGACCAGCTCCTGGTCCCAAAATCTATAACTTATATACGAGTGTGTACATCGGATAATATGAAGACTTAAATTAACAAATTTATTTTTCAAAAGCAGTCTGTTCAATTTGGTCAAGCTGATCTGTATTTACAATAAAATAAACACTCCATACCTTTTTTCCACAGCCTTGAGAGAAAGTTCTTGCTTGGCTTGACCTCTGAAGCCAAGGGAGCAAACTCTGTAAGAGTTGTAGCCGTGTCCTCCCATGGCTGCTTTGTTCCCATTTAATTGGTATATTAATTTTTAGTTATACGTCTAGTACAAAGTCAGAAACATCATGACTTAGGCAATTGGCATCAACAGTTTACATATTAAACTGTCTTTTCAATTTTTTCTAGTTAATAATGGAAAATCTACAAGAGAGAAAAGACATGTTTTGAGATTCTTTAATTATGGTTTTGGACAAAGTGGAGATTTTGAGGGCGCCACGGCCAATTGAAAGAGCACCGACGGCCGTGGCCGTGGTTAATTTCAATGCCTGTAGGCTGCATGTAAGGTTGTGTATTGCGATGAAAACTGTATTGCAATATACTTCAATGCAGTTAAGCATATTGTGATGTACCTTACTGAGAGGGGATCACGTGGCTAAGTGGGTAAGACGCTAGCTCGCTAGTCTGGAGGTCGGGTGTTCGATCCCTGTATTGGCCGAGAAGGTTCATCCAGATTTTCCGGCGTGGTTCTCCCTTGTCAGTGATGCAGGACGGAGGGGCTGACAAGGAAAGCTGTCTAGTCATTCGGATGGGACGAAAAACCGAGGTCCCGTGTACACATTGGCGTGCACGTAAAAGATCCCTTGGCAGTTGGAATTCGATATAAGAGTAGGCCGTAGTGCCGCTGTCCGGCCAAAATTTCCCTCATAGCACACTGTATGGCGTATGCCCTTCTTCATTAGCCCAGTATAGGAGCAGAACAGTAGGACGTTAAACCCCATTTCATTTCATTTCATTTACCTTACTGAGAAATTTAGTTTTAAGAGGAAATCATCAATCTGATTACAATACAGATCTATATTTCGTTTCGGTTTTTTATACTTTCGATGGCCTACACTACATAAAAATCTGACAAGTTATAGCAATAGGTTATGTCAGAGGTCATACCAGCGGCTTTTGACCCTATGATGTCAGACATTTGATTAACCAATCAGCATTGATGTTACTAGAGGATTACCCACAGTTCCGTGCAAAACACACCTAAAGCTCGCCGTAACAGACTGTTTCATTGGCCAATCTCTCATACCATTCAGAACACGTCAATGATAACAACTCTTCCAGATCCTAGTGTAGTAAAGACAAGTAAAACGAAACGAAATAGGATCTGTGTTTTAATCAGATTGGGAAATCATTTTGTCATTAAATGTGAAACTATATAAACCAAGTGTTAGCTATGCTGCTACTACATGTAGGCTTATGGACTACCGTGCAGTACTCTTAAGTACGATTTCCAACTTTCTGGTGATCTTTACTGTGCCACCTGGGGAGCCATGGTGGCTCAGCAAGTAAGATGCTGGCTCGCTAGTCTGGAGGTTGCGGGTTCGATTCCGGTGTTGGCCGAGAAAGTTCATCAGGATTTTCCTGTGTGGTTTCCCCTTGTCAGTAGTGCAGGACGGAGGGCCTAAAAATTCCTTGCAAGGACAGCTATTTAGTCATTCGAATGGTATGAATAACTGAGGTAGCTTGTACACATCGGCGTGTGCAGTTGGAATCAGATATAAGAGTAGTGTCACTATCCGGGCAAAATTTCCCTCATAGCACACTGTATGGTGTATGACTGCCTTCATTAGCCCAGTTGAAGCAAAACAGTAGATGTTAAGCCCCATTTCATAGTAAGCCAGCTGCCAATTTGACACACAGGAACTTTTTTTTTCGTAGCAATCGAGCAACTTGTCAGTCCCTCTGTTCAGCTGGAAAATCCTGAAGAACTCTCTTGGTCAACATGCAGTCACTGACAAGGACCATTATTGCCAATTATTGTTGTCAGCTTGTCAGCATAACCGGCCGTGTGTGTGTATTTTTACAGACTAGGCCAGACCAAGGTAAATAACCATACCTCCCACACTCTTCGCAGCGTTTTGTTTGATTAGAGCTAATCCCACTTAACACTGCTGTAATGGAAGCAAATTTCGTTTCCAAATTATGACTGGACAATAGTCCGATTAACAACCAATAGCTAAATGTGTAACAATATCATTACACTTTAAACAGAGCTCCAAATTGGACCAAATATGTTTACATAATGTTATGTCATGACTCACGATTTTATTATGCCCAATTAGTATGTCCAACATCATGTAATTGCCCAACTAATTGCATGACAAACGAGGCTATCAACATGGATATAATGTAAACAATACTATTTGGAGATGAACAATACTTTCACCGTTTAATACCTTAAATCACTGTCCAAAGTTTTTTGGAAGACCCCAGATTAAACGAATGGTCGTCATGTTGCTGTACTTGGGATAGATTTGACTGAATCAGTGATTGAATGCCGGCAATGGGAATCGAATCGACACACTCCCTCAAAAGCTCAAGTATCAGAAGCCAACCCAGCAATGGCCAGTCTGGATTTCTAGGCGATTGCTTCAGGAATATGCATACCTCCAAGCAGTGAGATGTTAGACAGTTTTAAAAAAATAAAGAATATTGATAAGAAAAAAATGTAAACAAATTGTTATCTTTTTTGCCAAATGAATTACCTCCCTTTTCACATCACGTCTACTCCCACCGTGAAATAATAAATATTTAGAAGAATATAATTATTTTGTCAACACGAACAGATTATCCAGTGTTCACTATGCTATTTATAGTAACTGAAAAGGTCACAAAATAAGTTCAATAGGTTGAAAAAAAAATAAATTCAGAATTGAACAAATCTTATCACGATTATTGACAAAAAGGAGGAAGAAAACCTCGATCATGTGATTTCATATTTTTATAACACAATTTCGTATTCCACCCACCCCTTTCACTCCAGTCTGGTACCAAATGAAGACAAAACGGGGAAAAATCGTGTATTATTTGCATATTCAAATAGACAAATCAAATTATTTATTTCTTACCAATTTCAACCATAATTTTTCAAAATCCGAAAATAAAGAATATAGCTTTTTTTTTTGTAAATAAAAACAAAACGAAAGTTGATCAGAGATGACGAAGTTAAAACCTTTTTTGTAAGAAAATCGGTAAACAAAACCCACTTTTGGACAAGAATATTTTGCATGTTACACGTAGGTTTCAGTTTTATGCTTCTTTCGTATGTAATTATGCACATATAATAATTCTTGAACATTAATAATAATTGATTGTGAAGTTGGAACGACTATATAATATAAAATTTAAAAATCAGAAAATATGAATTTAAATAAGTCTCTATAGGCCTAATAAAGCATGCCATTTCACAATGTTAATGTTTTTTATACATTTTAATGAGAATTATTAGACCTATTATATAACAGATGTAGATTTAATAATTAGGTTTAAATTAATATTATTATTCAGCAGGATAATCGAATATCAAACCTGAAAAAGACTTAATTTCACAATTGTAAATAATCAGTTACTATAAATAACTGCCTTAGCATGATTTAGTTGTATTGAAGACTGTCAGGTCCATGTTGAAGCTAGAGACAGGTAAAAGCTGATATTGTCTTGTGAATAATTTTGTCTTTTTTTGTTGTTTGGGAAATTAAAATTGTTCAGAGTTGTTTCTAGAGAACTCTCATACAACTGTAAATATTTGTATCCCATAGTATTAAGATGATAGCAAATTAAAACACAGAAAAGTTATAATCTTTGAATGGCATTTAGCGATTTATAATATAACACAACACAGAAAAGTTGAAAATTTAAAGACTGAATGACAGCAGTACATGTGTACTACCAGAGGAATTTTGTCTCACAACTGACTAAGCTTATTTTATTTAAATCAGAATTTGCCGTTGTAAATGATAATTTTATTTTAAACAGATTGAAATTATGTTAGGCCTAGTTACACTTGAAAATTTAAAGATACATTAGTTAAGAGTTGAATAAAGAGTGGGCCATTCTTGTTATAATAGTTTGAAAATAGATAATGTAAAATGAATAATTTGAAAATTTCATTCAAATTACTCTATTGTGAGCGAAGATATTAGCCTTAGAAGGTTTGACAAGACATGTGCGATAATTGCAACTACCGTACTGGTTGTTCGAAGCTAAGTCTCGCTCTTCCATTTTTAAATTAATCAAGATATGGCTGAACCCGTTCTAATTTATTTAAAATCGGAGAAATCCGATGCCATCGAGAGTAGATTTTGGCCTGGATCAGTTCATTAATGTTTAATTAATAATTTAGATAACATTTCAGGCCTAAAGAAAGACCTACAATAGGCAGATTTAGCTCTTGCATAATGTATGTTTAAGGAATGAATAACAGCAGCAGGTTTTGTCTAAATTTAATTATATCTGAACCTGACTTTGTAAATGATAATTCTATCTTACATGGGTTGATATTAGACGTTAAAGGTTGGGTGGATGGCCGAATGATTAGCATGTGCATACTGTATCATAAGGTACGTCATTGAGTCAGCTGGCGTGGTTTTGATTCCCTGTTTGTACGTGACAAGGAGTAGGGTTGCCTGTCCAACCTCGTGGGTTTTCTCCGGGTCCTCCGGTTACCTCCAAATGTTAAAGACCCCTACGCGCAACCGAATTATTGAAATAAAATTGAACCATATGTTAGTCCCGAAATGACCTAGTTTGTGTCTAGTGAAGGTTAAACCCCATCTCTCTCTCTCTCTCTCTCTCTCTCTCTTTCATTAGACATGTCTGGAACCTGTCTTACACTCTGTATCTTTTGATTATGTCATGACAAGTAATTAAAGTAGTTATATATAAGAACAACATGTGAAAATGATGAAGAAAACTATAGGGAAATCATTTTATATTTACTTTAATTTAGTGTAGATCATTTACATTTTGTGAGAATTATTTAAATTTGAAAGAATTCCAGAACTGACCCCCTACATATTTTATATGGTTTATTTCTTGTTAATAATATATATTTAGTTCAGGACCGAGCATTAAATCACTTTTTGTATTTTATATTTGGGTACTGTATAAATAGAATATATGTAGGCTACAGGGTAGTCAACAAAAGGGCTATGGCAAGAATCAAATACTTGGGATTAAAGTTTATAGCAGGGGTAAACAGGCAAGAATCATACACTTTGATTAAAGTTTATAGCTAAGAAGGGGACAGCAGGGGTCTCACTTCAGTCATATTATGTTAGTCCTGAAATGACCTAGTTTGTGTTGTGTGGATTTTAATCCCCATTTCTTTCTCTGTCATTTCATTACATTAATGTTCATGTATGTAAACAGCTGTTGTAGATGGAGAGTTGTTTTTAAGAAAGATTGGACAATACAGTCTATTATTATTTATGTGATTGAATATATTGTAACAGCTGTTACATGTATATATCCACACTTACCATTACAAATATATACTAACAAGGGTCTATCAATCTGGTGTATATATAAAGAAACATTGATCTTATTATAAATAAAATCACATTCTTCTAGCATTCTATTCAGCGGTACTGTTTTGTGAAAGCCACAAAAGACTGGATTGCCAATTGGCAATGATCATTTAACAAATGAGAAAATTGACTCAAATATTTTGATTTTTTTTTCTGTTTTTTCAGGTCAATGTCAACATAATAAAAGGGAATTGATTGATTTGGTTTGGAGATCTTGTTTGAGTGATCTGAAAATGGCTGAGGTTACACAAGAACATCATCAAAGTCTTATACGAGAAAAACTGAATGGTGATAAGATTAAGTTATGGCTGCCACCATTTACTTTAGAAACTGGAGAGAAAGGAGAAGAACCAAAGGTAATAAAAATAATAATAATAATAATAATCTATTTATAAAGCGCTGAATATCCAACAAACTGGTTGCTCAAGAGCGCTATCGTTGTTTGTACGTTGTAATAATATTGATGGCGAGATTTGTGCAAAAGAGAGAGAGAAATGGGGGTTTAACGTCCACTCGACACAAACTAGGTCTTTTCGGGACTAACGTATGGTTCAATTTTATTTCAATAATTCGCTTGTGCGTAGGGGTCTTTAGCAATGAGAGGAAACCGGATGACCCAGAGAAAACCCACAAGGTTGGACAGACGACCCTACTCCTTGTCACGTACAACCGGGGAATCGAAACTCGCCAGTTGACTTTTATGACAGACCCAATGATGCAGCGCGCATGTGCTAACCATTCGGCCATCCAATCTCCCTTGTGCAAAGAGAACACATAATTATGTATAATAATATTATGGTCTTGACTAATTATTGTTATTAGATTCACAGACAAGCAAAGCAGCACGTGCAATAACAGACATCTGTGATAATATGATACATAATTTGAACTTTAGGTTAATAAACACATTTGCGATATGCCACCTGTTGGTATGCAAGGTATGAGGCATGTCCATTCCATATTTGGCTAATTCGTGACATAATTGGGCATGGGTGACCAATCACATAATAAATTTCAGAAGTCAAGGCATATAAAACGCTAAATCTATGCGGAAACATTTCATACACCAGGCAGATTCTTAGAAGGGAAGATGTAGCAAGTTCTATCTGGCTAGTTCGGATGGGAGTGGGATAGAGAGAATGGCTTTATTTTAATCTATGCTTGTAACCTATGTATCCAGTGCTACACTGTTTGCGTTCTAACCAGAGATCAAATGATGAAATTACAAGCTTTACCAGATATTTTGGACATAGGCAATTCCTAACTGAACGACCACATTCATTTTTATACACCCACATGGAAATGTGGTAGTACATTGCCGTTGCCTCTGTCCGTCCATTTGTGGTCCGTCTGTGGTCCACAATTTGTAGTGTACACTCGCCAGACTACATTTATTATCTGGTCTTTTTTAAATTCATTTATTGTTTACCTTAGTGAGATGAAGAAGCCCCTTTATAATTTCAACAATTTCTCTTAATTACTTTGTAGAACCTTGTGAATCCTCTAACAACAATAGCAATTATTAAATTAATATGCATGATATAAATTGGAAACACTAAGAAGCCTTTTGAATTTCAGCAATTTCCCTTTATTGCATGTAGAGTTATGGCCCTTGTTTCCATATGTTTACGAGCCAGGGCTACAGATGGAGGCAGCTGCCCCCCTAAGTCCCGGGCAATCTGTCTTTTTGGGCAGACGGGTAAAATGAAAAAACTATTTTTTTTATTTCATCTACTTGGCATATTAAAGGAATCTAATAAAACACTAAATTTACTTTTCTTTTAATTGAATACCACGAATTGGTACTGAATTGACTATGGATTAAAACATTTTGTCTGGAGCTACTCTACTTTATGTAACATTTTTCTGGCATTGATTATTATTTGTGAATGCAGCTGCAACAGTCTGATTGGGTGGTTGGAATTCAGGTCGGCATAGAGTGGGATTTCGGTTTCAAAACCATAGGACAACTTTGGAGTTGTCTAACTCACAAGCTAGAAAACGTATTTTCAAAATAATTTCCGGGAGGGCGAGGATCCCATATCCGGTAACGATTGATTGGTTGTTTGGGATTCAGAAATAAAATGAAATGAAAGAAATGGGGTTTTACAATTACCTACTGAACAGTGTTTTCCTACCACTATTAGACATGCACTGATGTGAAGCGCCCTCTGATAAACAGAGTTAGCTCCCTTCCTCCATTCACCTCGAAGACAATTTACCCAGTTGGGATAAATATTACTTTTACCATGACATAATAATACTAATATAAACACAAATAATAATTCAACATTATTATGACAATAATACTTTCTTCAGTCAAAAATACAACACATACAAATGCTTAACTATAACATTTTCCTGGTAATAAATATTTTACTATTTGAGTTAAGATTGTTGCTCATACACTTTTATGCTTACACTCCAACTGGCAAGGGCTCTTTAACGTTCACGCTAACATGTACACATGATTACGCTTCTCTGTCCAATCTGAACGACTCAACACTGTTCCTTGTCCGTCCTCCGTCCTGCACCACCGACAAGGAGAAAACGTGCTGGAAAATCACATCTATATGTCTGGTTAACCTGATATCAATGTTTATCAGGTGTCAGTTCAGGTTGTTGTATATTACACCAGACTGTTACAGTTGTTCTCAATGATCATCAGAATAAAATAGGAAAGACCATAAAAATAGAATCGATGATTGTCATATGATTAAGAATCAAATATTCAAGCTAGGATTCAGTCATTTAAAAAAAAGAGGCCCATCAAAAGATTTTATCCAACACTATAGGTGGCACTGGTTTGTTTATTTTGTCTGAATAAAATGTCACGCATGACCTTTGCACTCACGGCCTTTGACGCATAACTTATTCTGTTAGTAAGTACAGGAGAACCACACTATACGCAAAACAAAATCGACAAAACAAACCTGTGGACAAGATAAACTACACAGACATTACAAGAAATAAACAACAAATATCAGATACAGTGAATGGATCTAGGGACCAGTCATAAACTAAACATTAAAATCTATTTAATTTGACATACAAATAAACAAGTTCCGTTTGTTTTTGATTGAACTAACATATTTTACAATGGAGATATTTCTATGTATTATGATGACGGTCATCACTCGTACTATGTTCTGTAATATAGATATCAGTATCGTTCTATGTTTTTTATTCGTACAGAAGCTTGTACAGTAAATGTTTTATTGTTGTTTATAAATCCTTCCTTCACATCCTCTAGATCATTCCACTCTATAAACTTATTACTACCCCGTCCCGATATACCATCAGGTATAAATGTACATGTATTTTGTCCCTCTATAGATTTACATCCATCGTTTATATTTAATAGTTTTAGTGTATAACTAGCTGTAACAGATTTAACCGTTTTATCTCCTACTTTCCTCAGAATCAGGTAACAACCTAATGTTGATGTATCTGTTTTATGTGTAACAGTTACATACCATGGCATTCCTTGTATCATTACATCATCACCCCAGTAGTTCTCATCTGTCTTCACCATCTGATTCAAACTAAAACTAGATGTCCAGCTTGTCGACTCCATTGTTTCTATTTCACCTAGAAGCAGTTGTAAAGTTTTAACATCTATATCTACCATAGGGTAATAGACATATCTTACTGTGGGTATATCTAAACTGGTTGATCTGCTGTCTTCAGTCAGTGTTTGTACATTGGTTAACGCATCTACAACCGGAACAGTAGATTTAGCATTTAATACATCATTTATATATTTAAAACTGGTTTGCAAGTAATTGTTGAATTGGGTCATATCGTCATGAAATGTCTGTAACATGTTACTTTCTTCATCACAAATTTTATTTGTTTCACATTTTATATCACCGCCATATTTTTGTACATCTTCACAAATTCTTTGAACCTGTTGATCAACGTTGTCACAGGCTATTTTAGCGTGGTTCTTGATATTATATATTTGATTGGTTAAAGATTCACAGTGTTTCTCAAGTTCATAAATCCTCCTTTCTAAATCCCTCTTTATAATGTTTAACTTTCCTCTGAATTCTTGGTCAACATCTTGAAGATCAGCTACGGTATGATTTCTGTGATCCAATATAACACAGCTACCACAAACAGCAACCGAACAATCACGACAATAAAATTCTATTTCTTTTGTCTTGTGTCGGGAACAAAAATGATTCCGTGCTTTTGGTTCGAAATCATTGGACTGTGGTCTTTCAATATAGAAATTATTCTGAAAGTGTTTAGCACCATCAGCAGGAACGTCTATTGCTCGTCTACACAGAGGACAGTTGAATTGATTAGACTTGGAATGTAACCGTATATATGAGTCCAAACACTCCTGACAAAACGTGTGGAAACAGGGGAGTATTTTAGGTTGATTAAACATATCAAAACATATTGAACAGTTCTGGTTAGAAGCCATCTTGGTGGAATCCCTGTCACAGTAAGACGAAAAAGATATTATTCTGTATCAGCAGAAGACGACCACAGTAAACTCTAAATGTTTTCCCCATTTAACTGATTGTGGATGAGATTAGAGTGGTTACAGCTAATGTTGTTAAATCACTGAGTTTAAACATAGCTTTCAAATCGCTTCCACTGTTTAATTATGAACATACTAGCAGCTATATGTTATATCTCATCAAGAATGATATGACTATCTCCTAGTTACTGGTGACTATATATAATTATTTATATGTCGTCAAGAATGACTATCTCCTAGTTACCAAACAAACACAAACACGATTGAAGTTTAATATTTATCACCTCAACCAGATTAAATTTATAGAGTCAGTAATTGATTTAATCTATTGGGGGACTTAAAGATACATTACCACTAAAGAATTCATGAGGTAGTTATGCCAATAAAAGTATCTAATTTTGGTGTATATGCAAAGAAGAGCCACCCATTCTAACTTGAACACTACCAGATTTTGGTCTGCATCAGACCCCAACTTATTGGATTATCTCCCTTGTTTTTAGGCTAAATGTGAAATATGTACAAAATTTTTGTCCGATTCAGTTGAAACTTAAATCGTACGTAAAGGATCAAACAAATAAGACTATTAGGTGTGACTCAATTGCAAACAATCCTATTTCCTTGTCTCAAAATCGACTATCGTCAAAAATGGTCGCCAACTTGGATCTACAAATGGCTAATGGGCTTTCTCAAAAGATTAGTCCTTAAGGAGTACCGGTATTTGTGCCAATTTTGTTACTTGTTTCCACATTTGAATGATTTCCCAGGATGGACCAAGTGTTGTATCATAAGGTCATTGAGTCAACTGGTGTGGTATCAATTCCCTTGTTGAACTTGACAAGGAGTAGAGTCGCCTGTCCAATCTCATGGGTTTTCTCCAGGTCCTCCGGTTTCCGCCCACTGCTAAAGACCAATACACTCTATCATGTAACTACCCCATCTAATGCCGCAACCACCAGATAGGTCTAAACGTTTGTGTACATTTTAACACTATAGATTTACTTACATCGTTTATACTTAAAGGAACTAAATTGCTAATATTTGGGACCTAGAAATTAACACAAATGGGATGGGTGGCAACGCATATAATAATGTAATATGAATGTATATAAACTGATTTACATTCAATCATTTCTTTTTTTACTGTAATTTCTAACCAGTTAAAATGTTTAAAATAAAATAGGTATAAGAAAAGGGCGATTCTTCCAGTTATCCCAAGTTTTTTTATGTAACTAGTTTCGTTCGTATTGAACTCTTCAATGTTTTATGAAATATTCAGAAGTCTCAATCGAATGTCAATCTCTAGATTCTGGTTATTCCATTCTACACCGATAGTATTTATTGCGCATGCTCTCCAGATAAGGATATGACGTGACCTTTGACATGACTTGTGGAATATGTCTAGCCTCGTTCTTCAAGTCCCTTGTTACAAATGGCGCTGAAACGCATTATGGTACACGATTTGTAAAATGTTTATTCTGCTCATCTTTCCAGGTAAGACCACAACATCAATGTTGATTTTAATTGACAAATAATTCATGTTTTCAAAGTGGAATACTTTGGATGATATTGAGTTAGAGACTTAGCTACTTTAATAGTTTTAGCCTAGTCTATATAACTAGCTAAACGGTTTTAACTGAAAGTTAGAATATCATGTATACTATATACTATCTATATATAATAACTGCCCTTGTGGTTTATTTCTTACAATATTTTGGGCGATATTGACAAAAGAGCGCTCGTATCAGCTCTTGTTCTTGTTTCACATGCTACACTCATGTTCAGGTCTGCCGAGAGAAGTTTTATGTGCGAGAGCAAGACAAATTTTTGCCCTCCCCCCTCCCCCTTCTCTCAGGGTAATACTGGCCATGTCGACGTAAATCTAATTTATTAAATATTTTATGGGCCTGGGGCGATGTACTGACTGCACACCCCTCTCTTGGGTCCCGGCCATATTTTCCAATGAATGTTGTGTTAGGGTTGGGTTGATCGTTATAAATTATTAGATTACAGACTAAGATGGTATGTATAAGAGATTGAATTACATCCTGGATTGTTTGTTTTGGTTAAGTGCTTGAATATTCTCGAGTAGCTTTATAATGTGAGTGTAAGCTATATTTCTTCTCTGTGTCAATATTAGGTCGCATTGTCAACATTTCAACTATCTATAATTTTATCATAATATTTAAAGATACATGATGGGAGATCACTATAATAGTTAAAATTGACAGATGGAATTCAATATAAGAGTATGCCGTAGTGACACTATCCGGGCTGTATGGCATATGCCCGTCTTCATCAGCCCAGTTCAGAGCAAAACAGTAGGACGTTAGCATTTCATTTCATTTCATTTTCATAAATAATGATGACACATTATATAGTCTGTTGTAGGCTTATTACCACTTTAACATCTTGTTATTGACTCATCCACATCAAATATCAGGGTTTTCCCAACCCTGGTGTGGTATCCTAAAAGGTATTTAGTTAAAGGTAGACATAATAACATGTTTAGTCACAATACTGAAATCTAGGACAACTGTCTGTTTTACTAAAATCTAGGATTATTATAGTGTCTGTTTTACTAAAATCTAGGATTATTATAGTGTCTGTTTTACTTCTGTAGTTTGAACTGTTGTTTAAAACAACCATATAAATATAATCTGTGAATATTGCTATAATTTTAACAACAACTCAGGTAAAGCTGGATATTATACTTTGATAACTCAATAACCACAATGTGTGAATATAACTACTGTAGTTTTTACCTGGACTGAGTCTAACTGTGTTGTACATATAGATAACTCAATAACCACAATGTGTGAATGTAATTGCTGCAGTTTTTACATGGACTGTGTCTAACTGTGTTATACATATCCATAAACATGGCGGAAGGAGGTGATCATACACATAGCTGTAGTATCTGTTTAGATGATTTTACTAAACCTAAAATACTACCATGTTTTCACACGTTTTGTGAAAATTGTATAGACGACCATATAAAAGCACATTCACATTTCAACAAGTTTAATTGTCCTAATTGTAGAACACAGATTCAAGTACCTGATAGCGGTGCAAGTGGGTTTTCAACAAACTTTTACATCCAACCGAAAAGTAAAACAGAAAAACATTTTTGTCCGAGGCACAAGACAAAAGAAATAGAATTTTATTGTCATGATTGTGAGACTGCTGTTTGTGGTAAATGTGTTATATTGGATCACAGAAATTATACAGTAGCTGATCTTCAAGATGTTAACCAAGAACTCAGAGGAAAGTTAAACATTATAAAGGGTGAGTTAGAAGGGAAGGTTGATGAAGTCAAGAAACACTGTGAATCTGTAACCAATCAAATATATGATATCAAGAGCCTAGCCAAAAAAGCCTGTGATAATGTCGATGCACAGGTTCAAAGAGTTTGTGAAGTGGTAGAAAGACGTGGCAGTGAGATAAAATTTGAAATGAATGAAATTTGAGATGAAGAAAGTAACAAGTTACAGACATTACATGGAGATATGATTCAGTTCAACAGTTACTTGAAAAACAGTGTTAAATATATGAATGAAGTATTAAATGGTAAATCTACATTTCCAGTTGTAGATGCGTTAACCAATGTACAAACACTGACTGAAGATAGCAGATCAACCAGTTTAGATATACCCACAGTAAGATATGTCCATTATCCTATGGTGAATATAGATGTTAAAACTTTACAATTACTACTAGGTGAATTAGAAAGAAAGGAGTCACCAACCTGGACATCTAGTTTTAGTTTGAATCAGATAGTGAAGACAGACATGGATTACTATGGTGATGATGTAGTGATACAAGGAATGCCATGGTATTTAATAGTTCAACATGTAACAGATACATCAGGATTAGGGTGTTACGTGAATCTGAGAATAGTAGAAGATAAAACAGTTAAAACCGCTACAGCTAGTTGGACACTAAAACTATTAAATATAAACAATGTAAGTAAATCTGTAGTAATGCAAGATACAGATCCATTTACACCTGGTAAAGGATGGGGTGGTAATAACTTTATAGAGTGGAATAAACTAGAGGATGTGACGAATGGATTTATAAACAACAATAACACATTTAATATACAGGCAACTGTATAAATACAGAACATAGATCGATAGATGGGTGTCATCATAATACAAGGACATATCTCTATTGTTAGTTCAATACAAGGACATATCTCTATTGTTAGTTCAATACAAGGATATATCTCTATTGTTAGTTCAATACAAGGATAAATATCTCTATAGTTAGTTCAATGAAAGGACATATCTCTATTGTTAGTTCAATACAAGGACATATCTCTACTCTAAAATATGTTAGTTCAATCAAAAACAAATGGAACTTGGTTATTTGGATGTCAAATGAAATAGATTTTAATATTTATCTTACAACTGGTCCCTGGATCCATTCACCTGATTTGATATTTGTTGTTTATTTCTTGTAATGTCTGTAGTTTATCTTGTGTAAATGTCGTGTGTGAAATGCAGGCAAAATAAGCAAACCAGCACCACCTATAATTGTTGGATAAAATCTTTTGATGGGCCTCTTTTTAACCTGACTGAATCTTAGCTTGAATATTATCAAACATGGATATTTGATTTTTACTCAAATGACAATCAACGATTTTTATTTTTATGGTCTTACATATTTTATTCTGATGATCATTGAGAACATCTGTAGCAGTATAAGCGAATTCTGGTGTAATATACAACATGAACTGACCCCTGAGAAACATATATCATGATATCAGGTTAACCAGACATATCGAAGTGATTTTTCTCCTTGTTGAAGAATCCTTGCCAGTTAGAATTTGAAATAAGATTAAACATAATTAGGGTGGTATGGCATTCCATCCCGTAGGATTTGTATGCTAAAATTGATTTTTTTCATGTTTTGGGTTGACGTTGGACCAAGCTATCCAA